CTCCCAGTCTCCAGCGATTTTTGACTCAAGAACTTCCTCACTCAGAGGTTTTATGTTTAATAATCCTCTGTGGAACTTCCTCTGTGAATCTCTCAGAGCTGAAGCAGGCTCCCAGCATCCATGACATTGTGCAGTGAGGAGTTCGACAGCGTAGGTGAAGAGCTGTCTCCTCTTCAGAACCCGCTCCCTCCTCTCTTCCTTTCGCCATCCTTTGTTTTTTGTGTCAGCAGAAGACAGCGAATGCCTGTTGTCAATTCACTTTCTCAATGACACTCAGAGGCCTCTGAGAATCCTCCCCCATCTCCCTTTGTTGTAGCATCGTAGGAGGCTCAGTCTATTCAGCTACAGCTCGCTGGAAGCTGTTCCCACTCCCCTGATTGTCTCCAACACTCCTCACCACAACTTTTCTCTTCTGCCATATTCTGTTTGAACAGAAGACAGAACTGTGCCCCGTATTCATTGCACCAGTGAGTGTGTATTTACACCAATTTTCTGTTTTCTCCACCTTAAATTTGGGGGTGTTTTCACCACTATTGGTAACCCTTGAGTTGACATTTTCCTGCAGCTCTTTACCATAAACCTAACATTTCATTCCCAAGTGGCTCTGAGCCCATCCAGACCATGTCTGAATTCCACCTGTGTCCCCATGCAGTACCTCACACTCATCCACACTTCCTCTCCCACCTCACTGCCCAGCTGCTCATTCCTGAGACATCCTCCTGGGGCTCCTTGCATCTGGCCTCATCTTTTCCACCCAGAACAAAAGCTCCCTCAGCTGCTCTTACTGCAAGCTTCTTCTGGCCCTAATAAAGGATGGACAACAAGAAGGTGCAGAAGGAGAGGTGGTTTTCTACAATCCTACTGTGACTGATTGGCAAGCACTCAGCAGCAAGGAGCTTCCCAGCACATCTACTGCTCTGTTACCCAAGATCCCTGGAGGACTGAATCCACCCCAGCTTGCCCTGGCACAGATCCCTCCTCTATTACTGATGACGTGGGAACATGAATCACAAAGCTTTAGCAGCTCTAGCAAGTTCCCTGTTCAGAAAAAGACATGCAGGTTAAAAGTTAATTTCTTTTATTCAGCTTCCTGGACTGTTTTGAAGGAATTAAAGGAATTAAAGGAATTAACCTGTGCCTTAGTTCTCCAGGAATGTTGCAGGGATAATAATTTTCCTTCCGTCAAAAATAAGCTGATAAAATAAAATCCACTAATGGCTTTCAAGCACTCTGATCCCAGAGCAACAAGGATTCTAATTTAAAGACCCTCATTTTCTGAACTTGTTGGCAGTGATACCTGTGGCTCAGGTAGTTTGTTTTCAGACAAGTCTTTACTTCAAGAATTTCTCCCGTTCCCCACAAAAATCCTGATAGCTTGTTCTCTCCCTCCTGCTTCTTCCAGCATTAATGCTATTGTATTTGTTTAATGGGGTTAATATGCTGCTGGTATAATAATGATCATGCACAGATGCAATTATTATGTGTGATTAATTCTGCAGCTGCCAAAAAGCTTGGAGGACTTTTCCTAGGCGAGGGAATAACTTCACAATAGTTCTTCTCACATTGCGTTACACGCAGACATAAACCCCCAAAGAAATGCAGCAGAGAACAGAGGGAAGGTTGGATTAGAGGAGACAGAGCTGCACACAGCAGAGCAGCTGATGAAGGCTTAGCATCACATGGGCAGAGACATTTCTGTGTTTTGTGTTTTTACACTGACTGGCTCAAACGATTCCTGCCCCATCACTGTGATCCCAAGGTATTACTTCCATGCACAGAGTGTGTAACTGGTTATAAATTTTTAAAGACATTTCTGCCAGTGGTGTAGGCTTCTCCTGTTACTATTTTTTTAAAATAATAAACACCCTTTAAACGAACACACTTTGTTTTGTTTTAAGAACATACAAGACCGCAGACCAAAATATGAACTCCTACAAAATGGTAACACAGGTTAATGATTTTTACAAGAAGAGGAGGATGAGGTGCACAGCACACAAGCCATTAGCACTAAAATACCAGGAGTGTCCACATCTGACAAAACTGCAGATGCTTTTCTGCATGAGGCTTTTTGGCACACACAGATAATTTACACTGGAGCCATACTCTTGAGTGCTCTTAAGTGCTCCGAGTGATAATGGACCTATTTGTGTGATCAGGGATTGTAAACTTAGGCCTGTAACTCAGCATGCTCCCCAGAACAATACCTGGACACTTATCCTTGACCAAACTATTCTTAAATCCCACATTTGTGACCTGAAGAGAAGACACTGCCTGCACAATTTAAGTTTCTGTGAGCTGCCCAGCTGTTTTCTAACCCATTTATTACCCACAGAAGCACCCATGATTTTGACATTTACCTGACTCAGTTTAAGGGTTTAAGTGAAGAAGAAAATGTGCCCAGGAAAATCTGAGATATGTGCCATCTCCCTTCTCTTCTCCAGAAAATCATATTTCAGTCTGTGCAGTCTTTAACACCTAAAATCACCAATGCCCCAGCCCCGTTCGCTCTTCTGCATGCAGTGGAATCCCTGTGCAGGGATGCCAAGAAGGCAGCACTCATGCTGTGGGTGTACAGGTGGCAGAGAAGAGGGTCAAGGTGGGCCAAAAGCACAGCTGGAGACTTTGCTGCTGCACAAAACTCCTTGGGTATTCCTCAAAACTGCAGCTCTGGGCTGCTGGGCTGGGACAGGACCCCATATGGGTCCTGTATGGGGTCTGTGTATGCAGGGCTGGGAATGGAGAGGGATTCTGCCCATTGGCTCCTCTGAGTCTTACCATAAAGGGCTGCCCTGAATAGCAGCTCGGGCTGGGTATTTCAGTGTTCCACAGTGCTGTTATATCTGAAATTTCCATGATTCTTTAAAGAAATCACTTCCTCTGAGCAGTGAACAACAGAACCTTAAATAGGACCTATTTGAGAAAACACAAGGGCTCTTAGCTCACCCTCCAGAAAGGGGCACAGCARTTTTGGCTTTCACCTTGTGAAGGACTTATTGAGCATCTCATTCAGCCCCCAGCATGTTTGAGATGGTAACGATCGGCCCTCGCAGCTCCTCTGCAGCGCCGGAGGGGTTATCAGTGAAATGCTACCCCAGCGCTGAGACAAGGGCTGCTTTCCTTCCTTCTTTTTAATTTCTTTCAGTTTCTGCTTCACTGGGTTTTCTTTTTCTCGCCACACTGCTGGGGATTTCACAGGCACAGAAGAACAATTCAGCAGGCAGAAGCAACAATGTGGATTGGAATAAAAGAAGCAGATTGTAACAGGTTTGGGATTTGGCTATAATCATTTATGGATTTCTGTGTTTCACCTAAAAGTTGATCTAGCACTGAGGGACATTGGCCTGACACTGGTCTGTATCAGCTGGACAMAGAAAGGATGTAAAGAGACAACTCAAAGTAGCCTTAACAGTGCACATGCACCCAGACAGACATTAATTAGAAGAAAACAAAAAAAATGTCAATGATTTGGTCATGATACTGCATGCAGCATGCTATAAAGCAGTTATTTGAGTTGTATGCAATGAAGACATTTCATGGGAAAAATAAGTGAGCATTACAGATTCCTGAAAATTATTCTGGACCTATATTGGAATTACTCTAATTTCATTTCTGAGAGTAAAACTTTAGGATGTATCCACTCTACAACATATATAAACAGGAAAACTTGCCTGGTGGGGCATGTGGTGAGGTGCTTGCCTTAGTCTATCTTTGCTTTAAATTACTGAAGAAGGTCCCAGTTTAAAACCTCTAATTAAGATATGCACATGCNAAAAAAAAAAAAAAAAAAAAAAAAAAAAAAAAAAAAAAAAAAAAAAAAAAAAAAAAAAAAAAAAAAAAAAAAAAGAAAAGAACATGCTTTTAAATAACTTACATGGAGAGCTGTGTTGCCACAGCTAATAAAAGACAGTAGGGCTGCACAGACTGGGGTCAGGTGTTTTACTGTTGCACTGACTTGCCCTTTATTCTCCAGGGACTGACTGATTATTTCTGCACAGATTATTTCTGCAATCKACTCAAGGATAGTTCAGTGGAAAACCTGAGTTTTCACATCCATGTACCAAAATATTACATCAATATTTTGCTAGATCTGAGCYGAAGAGCAGAGCATCTTGCAAAAGCAATTGGAGTGTTTTGCAGCTCTGTCAAACCCAGCCAAGGCATGGAACTGTCAGAGGTTTACCCGCTTTGACAAGCAGGCACACATCACAGAGAGCAAACACACCAACAAACAAAAAGCTGCTGTTTCACTTTGCCACTGGCTGCTGGTTTCAGGCTGGAGGCAAAAGGGCAACAGGAGAGGGATAAAGCACTGCCATTCAACYCCTGATTGAGTAACCCAGCAGAACAGCAGGAAACTGTGGCTGTGATTCCCTCTGTATCATGGACATGACCAGCACCATCCTCCTCAAGGGCTTCCTGCAGCTCAGGCACCRAGAAAATCTACTCCAAAGCAATTTCCATTTTCCCCTTTAGGACTGAAGGAAGGGAACTCAGCTGTTGCCACAACTCTCAAGTCTCCTTGTGCAGAATTCTCAGCAGGAGAGTCCCCAAARGGCCCAAAGCACCAGGTCACCCAGYRCTCAGCAGCACAGCAAGGGGACAAAGTGCAGCCCTGGGAAACACTTAATGGCACCAGGCAGGGCCTCTSTGGGTCACATGGTGACATTTAAGCACTTAGAAAGTGCTTCTTGCTTTTTTTATGGGTCTGCTGAGAATTACTTTGTGCTTGGCTATTTTGCCATAATCAGATATTGTAAAGGAATGTGCAACAAAACAGACATTCAGGTGTTACTGTCCCATCAGCTGAGCCTGCGTGTGATTCCCTCCAATCACCCTGCAACATTTATCAGCACATTCATTTGAAATAACACTTAGTTTTCAATCAGGTGCTCTGCAAGGAAACCCAGCTCAGGAATGCTGTAGTTTAACGTCTYGAGGAAGAAAATAAAAAATCAGATTTTGGCTCAACGGTGCTATTTGATAGCAATGAAAGCACTTACCAGGTGGCCTATTAATGGCGAGGTTTCGGAAATGACTGCCTTTGATCATCTCCACTGACAGCCTCCCCGTAGTGGCATTGTATGACAGTCCCACAAGCAGCTCTGGCACCCCTCCATGCGACAGGGACTGTGTTGAAGAAGCGCTATCACTGTGAGAGATTGCTGACAGACTCAGCTGAGAATCTGCACTCTGCAGGGAAAGAGCACTGAGAGAATCATCAGGACATCCACCACCCCACACCTCCCCCCCTTCATTTCTGTCTTGTGGCCTTGTGCAGTAAGATCTTTCATAAGAAATTACAATAACTCAGAATTAATTATGCTGGGGCACCAGAAGAATCAGAGCGTCGCTTTTACAAAAAACACATCTCTGAACTCTCTCTTTAAAGATGAGGAACTCTGAGTAAAGTGTTATCACGGGTGTAAATCAAAGCCTCTGAGATAAGCAAACATCCTACTACACTAATACTCAGTACATCTTGATGATGGCTTTTGGCTGGAATACAGCTTTCAGTTTGGCAGTTTTTGGCCACGCACTGTGCATTTTCTTACTTTCTTTCCTCGYTACCACAACGCTCTCTCTATTCCCCTCTTCACCTGGAGTACAATATTTTATGCATTCCACACACACAACCTCTCCCTGAGCTTTCTGTAGACAATGAATCGTGACAGAGCTCATCTACACAAATTGATTGGCGTAGCCAGAGCTGGATGCAGCTGTGATGTGCATGGAAAATTAGGGAACAACACATCCAGCTCCTCTTCACATGACCCACCTCTCCACTTCCATCTGGCACAGGGAAGAGCATTACTAAGCATTTCTGGCAAGATGGAAACTGCAGCATGGAGATCCACAATTTGGTAGCCAGAGCCAAACGAGGCAGTTCCTCGTTGGCAGCACCAACACAGTGGTGCTCAAGAGCCACTGTCCTTACTGAAATTTAAACTAATTGTGCCTTGGTAGTTCCCAGACCAACCTACTGTTTCTGAATGGCACAGCATGTGATGGCTGGTGTAGATGTAGCACATCCACATGATTTGGATCAAGCCTGCGAGCTGAGCTGCTGTTAAAAAAGCACAGCTTTGCTCAGGGAAGAAAAGCCCTGTGCTTCCCCTTACTGATAATTTTACAAGTGACAGCGTCAGATMCACTTGTCACACACTGACAGCCCTGAATGAAAGACTTCAGGAACACCCTGCTCACCAAAAAACAAACCATTTTATGRGCTCCTTATGCCTTTCATCAAACTTACACTCAGGTTACTCCTCGGTTCCAAGAGCAGTGTCACCTTCACCTCCCCATCCTGTCTGATGCCGCTCAGGTAGAAGAGCTGCTCCCCCATCATCTTCTCCCCAACCATCTTGTGCACGGCGTAGAGGCGAAAGCGAACAGCGTGGCTGCTCAGCTCCTGTGGYTCCAGCTTGCTGAAGGTGATTTTATCCTGGAACACGGGCATGGGTCCTCTCTGCACGCTCGTCTTGCCCCTCTGCTTCTTGCCCGGCATCAGAACGGCGTGCACCTGCCAGGTGTTCACACCRCTGCGGTCCTTGTCTGGGATGTCCCTGGCCTCCAGGACAGTGACCACCAGCTTTTGGCTGGAGGATTTATAGGTGAAGATGACATCCAGGTCACCACATTTGCAGATGGGCTCGTGGGCACCATGATGAGCTGGCACAGTGTTCACTTCATGGTGTTCCTGCAAAGAGGAGGAAGCAGTAAAATCACCAATGAGGTTACAACTCTGTTTTTTTAAAAAGCTGTTCTCCTCGCTTATGCCTGCAAGTATAGGCAGTGTGAAATATGGATCCCACTGTTTCTGGAAAGGCCGATGATAGTTAATTGCCTGATTTTGTGTAATAGTCCCCATACGCTCTAGTAAGCAACAGCACTTGTTGAAACATTTCCAATGAAAAGTTTCATCAATATTTAAGTGTTTTGCAGAAGATGGTTAATTTGGCAAATCTTCTACAGAGTGAAACACTAAACAAAAGGGTTTTTAAGTTTCATTCATGTCAGTTTGGGGGCACTAACACCACAGTTTGACCTACTTAATCTGTTGAACATACACTGGAATCTTTATCAAGGCTTTTTTTTATACATTATTAAAATCAAACAATTCAGCCAAATCTGCTTTTTTGATATTTTGTTCTGCTAGAAATTTAAAAAAAAAAAAAAAAAAAAATAAGCACTGTGTTCAATTTGAAGAGGAAATCACCAGGTCAGAATTTCTTGCACAATGGAAATTCCATTTCTAGATGCTAACCCATAATTCAATATTTTTTCTACAGCTAAAGCAATGATAATGGAGAAAASCAGCCTGATTAAATACATATTGATACTTTATACCCTTCTAAAACCTCCCAAGAGAAGCATCTGTTCCTTCTGTTCAGTTTGGGTACTAATACATTCAGAATAAAAATTCAAAACAAACAATCAYGACACGTGCAGACCAATTCGCACGCAATCTTTTACCTACTTTTAAAACAAAAACCATCTTGATAAAACAAGATAAAAACATGGATGCTCACCTCACCTTTTGCTGAGTGGGCGTGTGGGTTTCTGTTCAATAGTGCCTTTTTATCTGAGAGCTAGAATGTGCTTCATGTGATAAAGGGGTTGCCATAGTGATCAATGATTTGTATTTAAACATGAGTATACACTGTACTAGGGAAAGATTTTCAGTTAATAGCCAGAAGGTGAATTAAGGCCTGTCACCAGCATCTGAGTCACCCTCCTCCTCAAACATTTATCTTCTTTTCGCATTTCAAGTAACACTTCTTTCCAACACAGGAATCTTTTTGTTCAGAGAACAGATGATGGGCCACGGGACGTCTGGTCTGAGTCCCTTYAGAAATGTCTGGGGTGCTGTGTCTCAAACAGGGCCTCGGATAAATATCGGAAATTTTGTTTACTTCCTGTCAATCTACTTCTGAAGCGCTCGGATTCATCTGCCATGACATGCAAAGCTGCAGATTTTCACATTTTCAGAGGTGTTTAAGACTTGGGCACATGAACACAAAAAGTCTGAGTATGAGGATTAGAGAACTGATGTTGTCTGTCATGCAGAAATAATGTCAAAGGGAGAACAGCACACAAAATTACTTGGTCGGCTACAAAAACACCTTCCTGTAYGAACAGCAGGCTACTAAAAACAAAAATGCAAGGCAGGCCAGGTTGCCTGGAGAGAGCATGGTGTTATGAAAATGTTAAGTGCTCCTGTGTAGCAGTCAAATTATTTCTGTCTGGTTGATGTAATAATATTTAACATGAAAATGTGATGGGATTGTGCTTGACTGGTATTTCCCTCCACATTTTCATCTCTCCACACTTTTATCTGTGCATTTGCTGTTGAGGAGATGGAATCAAAGATGGAATCAAGGCACGTTCAAGGACTGCTGCTAAGGTGTGGRGACRATGGTGCTTGAGGCAACTTTGYTTTCATCTACATGCCTGRGGTGGAAAATGTGAAYTTCARTGCATCACCACAACCCCACGGGGAGGAAAATCTGAGAGACACATTCCTTCCCCAACAGGGCTGAGTATCTCACCTTCTGGCAGTRTGTAGGGAAGACTGCAGGTCAGATATGCGAGTTTTGACTGAAGAGCTAGAAAAGATTTGGATTTCAGGAAATCTCTACTGTGCAAATTGTGCTACTAGAGCTGTGGCCACTTCCATTGCAGAGAAAACTGCAGGAACTGGAGGCAGAGAGGGAAAGAGAAATGCCAAAYTCCTTGGCAGTGAGCTTTCCATGGGAAGCCAAGCTTTGTAGACCTCAGGCCGGCCCTTTCTGRGAGCACTGTGCTGTCCAGGACTCACCCCTGGGCAGGTTTGCTACACACCAACTCATCTTCCTTCTGTGGAAGTCATTGACAGAATTCCCCTGTTCTTTTGGAGCCCAGCTGGGCTACGAGTGCTSTGTATACAGACACTTGAACTGGAATCCAAGAAAGATTGGGCTTTCATCTGAATTTCTTACTTTCCCTCTTCCCAGCACAGTTGTTGAGAGGCCAAGCCAAGTACCCTGATTGATACCGTACATCTAACCCGGTCGTTCAGGACAGCCAGCATCCACTTCACTAAATAAAATAAGSCCATTTCTGCCAGAGAAACCTGAAAGAGCAGCTAATTATGGACAAGGCTTGGAATGGTRCTTGTGGTTCCGCTGCAGGGGCATAAAATAACCATTTCTGTCTCTAAAGAGAGGTCCTTTGAGTGGAGCATAATAACGCTCGGACATTTCTGGCACGTCAGAACATTTAGTTCCTGCAATAAAAAGTCTTTCATTAATCCACATAATACCTTTGAATGAGAAGCTGCTTGTAATAGATAAACTGTGTCTTGGGCATTTCTGCCCCAGTAGGCTGGAGCCCTTCTTTGCATTTTTAAAAGACACCAGGAGCAAAATGAGCGATGCATTCCAAAGAAATGGAAGAGGCCACTGGAGACGCTGCGGCACACGTGAACCGTGGCAAAGCACATCAAACGTGGAAAAGGAGAAATGAGCCTCAGATGGGCAGAGAAACAGCACCCAGCACAAGGAGGGCAGGCTGCTGCCACACAGAGCTCCCATCTGSTGGGTAGGGTTTTGTGTAGGGTCTGGGTTGAGCAGCAAACCAAAATTCTGCTCTGAACACCCCCTGGAGCACCAAGGAGCTGCCGTTGTCTCTTGAGCTGGCTGCTCCGAGGATAGGGACCTTCCCCTCACAGCCTTGCTGCTCAGAGTGTGATGGAAGTATGAGTCTCCACAGCTCATTTAACTCAGGCAGAAGAAATGACCTTTGTGCTGTTCTTTTAATACGCCTGATGCAGGCTGATATTTTTCCAGAAATTTAATCTTGCGGTAAAATAATGAAAATCAGCACGTCGTGCGGAGAGATTAGGAGAGAAAAATGGGATGAAAAGAAAAGAGGGATGCAAAGTCATCAGGTGTTTATAACATCTTAAAATCTGAAATGTTTTCCTGAGGATTCAAAATAAATGTGCAGAACTAAAGGAAAGCAGCCCCAGGTTGTCTCCATACCTAAAAATTTGGCTGGTATCAATGGAGACAAGATGCTGGTCACTTGGCCAGGTCACAGGCCACCCTCACCTGCTGCCTGCAGCTTTCCAGATTGCCTGAGTCATAGAAATCACCTGGAAAAAGACACAGATCTGACCCAGTGACCCCATACTCTGGGGTTACTCTGTCCCAAGACACACACCCTGCACACACGGGCAGTGACCAAGCCCTGGGCCACCATAGAGAGSTCTTTGCTAAATGACAATAAATGCTGCTGGGTAGATAAAGTTCCAATTTCAGTTCAGAGGCTGCAGTCACAAATACAGCAATCAAAATCTCCTGTGAATTAGTGTTAGTAGCAAAAGGTAAAATACCAGAAAAAGGGGAAACACAAAGGGAGGGGTAGATGTTCACACACACAGGCACACAGGAGTACCATTATCTTGTGCTGTGACGATCAATTTTTCACTTCATTTCTCCTCTAACCTTTTTTGTCCCCCAATATCCTTCCAAAGCTTTCACCGTGTGTAATAAATGACAATTCATCGTACCTCAGGGCTCCAAGCTGATGAGCTGTCAGTAGCATCATTTAYTTCCAATCCCTGGCTGGCAAATTCYGTCTCCATTTCCAGATKTCCTTTCCTGTGKGCCTGGCKGGCTCCATCCCCAGTTCTGGGCTCCATCCTAGGCCCTTTGTGCTGCCCAGCACCCTTACTCGTGGTTGTTGTTCTTGAATCAACAGACACATGGTCATCTTCAYGATAGGAGAGGTTGTCTTGGTAACTCAGTTGGCTTAGTCCATCCAGATCTAACAATTTTCAAGAAGAAAATAATTTCAAAGGGATTAGAACAAATTCCTCCCCCTATAACTTCCAAAATGTGTCTTTCTCTCATTTCTTTTATTTAATTTATTTTTAACTTTTCCTTAATCTCCTGTGCTTACAAGAGGCAGTTTCTCTTTATTGAAGCCCTGAACTCATAAAACAACAAATCCTGTTTAAATCAGCATCTGATGGAGGGGTCATGGCTGTTTCTCACCCCATCCTGAACTGAGAAACCTGTTGCCTTTACTTGAAGAAGTTATCCACCAAATGCAAGTATCAGTGGAGTGTTTGGGATATCCAAGAGCAGCCCCAAAGCAAACTCTTCCATGRAAACACAGGTCAAGCTACAGAAAAGCACAGCAGAGGCCTGATGAACAGGTTTCACAATTTCTTTCTATGCAGGAGGAGGAAAAAATACAGGAGTTAGCAATGTYCTCAAGAGGATGGTGATAGTGAGAGAAGCAGATTCACAGACATAACACAGGGCCACCATTATCCCCTCACCAATCCCTGAGAGCTTGGGTGAGCATGATCAGCACCAAAAACTGACAAGAAATCCCCAAATCCCATGCTTGGRCTAAATTATCCCARGGACAGCTGAGGRGAGATGTGTTACCKAAACTCCTGCCTGCTTTTATTAATYTTAATTCACCTTGTCCTACACACAATCACTCCATGGACTAGAGGAAGGTTCATTATTGAGAATAAAATAATCTTCTCTGCTTCACACCACAGATTCCTTTCCCACACCATTGAAATCTCTRTTATGAGCACAAGGCACTTTTCCCTACTTGAAAGCACCAGTGAGAGCTCTCTGGATGGAGCAGATAATTACATGTCCAGGGACACAGATGAAAATAACATCATGATTTGGCCTTGGACGTGTTCTGCAAGCAATTTCAGAAGAAAACCAGGGACATTGCTCCTCCTGATGCATCTCAAGATGGGCCTTGCTTCAGGAACACAGAGTCAGGTTCTGCCTCCATCTCTTTCAAATAAGCAAAAAGCAGTCACAGTGAAGAATCAACTTCCAGACAGCTGATAACAACAATGAAAACATAACTTCCTTTGTAAACAGAGCTATTTGGAGTTTGAAGGCTTCACAGAAGGAGGTGAGGTTGGAAGGGGCTTCTGGAGGTCATTTTGTCCACTGCATTGCCCAAGAAGGAACATATCTTCCTTTGTTCCTAAGGGGATCTTTACTACAGAACAGTATTTTTTTTTCAAACCTGGTCTCCAGTTCAAATATTTTTGAAAATAGTATTAATTACTGTGTTTAATAGGAAACCATTAGTTTGCTTTTGTTTACATGAATCAATGTTTTTATTCCCTAATAGATGAGACAGGGAACCTGCTGACGACTGACATGGAGAAGGCTGAGATACCCAGAAACATTTTCTCCCTCAGTTTTCACTGTCAGCTGATGGCCCCACATCTCTCAAGTCCCTGAATCTCAAGGCAGGGATAGAAGGAATGAAGTCCCATCCATTTTAGGAGAAGATCAGGTTTGAGACCCTCTGAGGGGCTTGAACAGGCACAAATCCATGGGACCTGAAGAGATACATTCCAGGATCCAGGAAAAGCATGGACCTGTTAGAGCAGGTGCAAAGCAGGGCCATGAGAACTGTCTGAGGGCTGAAACACCTTTTGCATGAAGACAGGCTGAGAGAGATTGAGCTGTTATCCTGGAGAGGAGAAGGTCTGAGGAAAACCTTACTGCTGCTTTTCAGTACCTGAAGAGCAGTTGTAAGAAAGATGGAGAGTGACAGGACAAGGGTGATGGTTTGAAACTGAAACAGGGCAAATTTAGATTGGATATAAGGAAGAAATTYCTYATCAGAGAAGCTRTGGATGCACCAGCATTGGAAWTGTCCAAGGCCAGGCYGRATRGGGCTCTGAGCTAYCTGATCAAGGCAGGGAAGTTGGACTAGAACTTTAAAGGCCCCTTCCAACCTGAGCCATCCTATGGTTCTCTACACATCCCTTTGTCTAGAACAAAAAGCCCAAATCTTTCCGAGCAGAAGAAATTATATGTTTGGCTTTAACAGCAAATATGCTGTTTCTGCTGTTACACACACACACAAAATTCCAATGAGGGCAGTGGGGATTATACTCAGGAAACATTTCCTGCAGGTGAACAGAAGTCCTTGCTCCTCTCCTTACCTGCTCTTTCAATTTAACAGCTCAGAAATTAATAACTTTTATCCCCTTTCTTCAGCTATGAATGATCTCACACTCTCCCTCCCASTAAAATGCTTCAAGCACAGGCACTTCAACCAAAGAGTCTGAGAGCATCTCACAGCTTTGTAATTATGGTCCTCTTCCTCMTGGGAGATGGTCCTTCAGGAGCAAAGAGGGATCCAAATTCATATCTCTCAAATTCCAGGTGAGTGCTCTTCTCACTCCCTTCTGAAATGCAAAGCCCATTTCCTCTCCTCATCCTCCCACCTGGCAGACCCAGTCCTGAAAATGAGAGCCCTCATTGTCCCACCCCTGCCCTGGGCTGAAAGTCTTGAGTGAGGGGAGAAAGTAATTTTTTTGGTTTTGCCATTACTCCCCTTCTCCTCCACAAAGTCAGAAAACAGAAAGAAGTCAACAYAAGAGCATAAGCAAGAAATAAAAAAAAACCAGAAATTCCATGCATTTACTGAGGCTGAATGGATACAGGCACTCCTTAAGGCATTTAATTAGCAAGCCAATGTCTAATACACATTTAAACAGTGGGTCATCCATCAAAGCACACACCACACAGCAGGCTTTCGGAATGAAATGCTTCTGTAGTAAGAAATTATCCTCACACAATTGTCTTGTGGGTTTGACTCCTGCTGGGATAATATCTAGATCAATAATAGAGGAATTTTCAAAAACTACATTAAAGCCATAAAAGTCTACCCGTAGCAGGAGAACTCCAGAAATATATTAATAGAGCAAGCCATCTCCCTGAGACTCAGGCACAAAATGAATGTGTTAGGAAAGCAAATGTAGTATTCAGGGGAAGTAAGGGAAAAGGTGATTCACCCAAAACAATCAGTGAAACAGTCTGGCTTTTTCTTTAAATTTAAAGCAGTTTGAAAAGAGATAATCATGTATAAATACCAGTATTAGACGATCATTGSAGGTAATAGCCCAACTATACAGACTAGAACAACTACACCTCTCCAATTACATCCGTTCTAACGCCATATTCACAAAATAAATGTTGAAAACAAAAGYTCCCCCTGTAAAGGAAAAGGTCAGAGCAGTAAAATGCCTGTAATTTACCTGAGAGATCTTTAAGGAAGAAAATGTCAACCATCTTATGAATACCTGACGTGAATAAACAGCACAGCATCGGGGACAGAGGTTGAGACAGCATTATCTAAAAATCTGAACTTTAATTAGCCAAGAGTCCCTGCAGAGCAATAGCAGACAATTCTACAATTGAGGGCAGATAGTCCTGTACAATAAAAAAGTGTGATTTTTCTTAAGAATCCTGTCTCCCAAACTTTTGCTGTTGGGTTACGTGCTCACAATCCAGGAAGGAGCCAAGACAGGTGCTGGGTAACAGAAATCACCAATAAATCAGAAAAGTTTGTGCTCAAGGTTGGAGAACTGYGAAGAAACTGTGACTTTTGTCAGATGAAGGGATGAGCATGACCTCCTAATAGAACCCTAACAGGAATTGGGGTATGGAAGCATCTCTCCAAAGACAGAGGGAAAGCCTGGCACGTCAAACACTGAATATCATGGTTGGAAAATATTGTGCAGTCCCTCCTCACATTGGCAGGMAAATGTTCTGGCTAATTTACAGTATGTTCCTTTTTATTTTTCAATGGCACACAATCTCTCAGTTCTATGAATCATTACAATCTGCCAAAKAAATGTCCTGAGAGGTCTCATCACTTTCTAAAACCCACAGCCAGAATTGAAAGATGGGGACTGATGGATCTTGATGAATTAACTCCACTTAATTCATTGACCAACAAGAAACACAGATGAAGGGTTTGTGTTACCTGTGCTGGCTGAGGTCAAATTTGCTCTGTGAACTCCAAGGAATCACTGTGCTTCCACATAAAAGAAAAAAAAAAAAACCTAAAATACAACCAAAAAAAGCATTTATTTGCTTAAAAAAAAAAATAGATCCCTTCTTTAGACTGTATRTAAACTCATGATGAAAGCTAAGAACCTCTTTAAATATGGTCCAGAGGAGGAAAGGATTTCAGGGTGGATCTAGGTAAGTTTGGAGTTGAAATCCTCCTAGATRCAAGGAGTGATTTTCGAACCCCTCTTCCTAAAAGACAGCAGAGGTATGAATTAACAGAACTGAGCCTTATTTTTGTCCTCATATAGCAGAAATCCTTTTGCCTGGCCCTGCTACAGCCCCAGCTCCAAACCTCTCTGCAGCACCCCTGCACCCCTTGCACTGAGACAAACCYGTGTAGGGAGACCAAGCAGTGCTCCTGCCCCTGGTTATTTTGAGATCAGCCACMAAAAGAGTGCTGAAAAAACTTCCTGGAAGAGCCTCGAAGGAGCAGAATCATTATCTAATTACAATAAATCTAAACAAAAATGGCTTGTAAATTTTAGGGGTTAAGGAGAAAAAGGATCTTAAATTTCGAGTGACATTATGCAATCAGGCCAAGATTGTTTAATTTACCACATGCTGGGTAATAGTCTGAGAAGGCTCCATGTTTCCAGAGCTAAAATAGGCTCTTTATTAACAGGGTGATTTGCAGAGAGGCTGTGGGCAGAGCTGGCATTCGAGCCATGCAACTCCCCAGAGCATCCTCCAAACACTTCCCTCACGCTGTGTGTGCTCCAAGATCTATCCAGGTTACTACAAAGAGTTTGAACAGGTGAAAAAGATAAAGCTAAATGAGTTCAGAGTGCAGACAGTGAAAACAGAGACAGAGGGTCAAGGAAACTCTCCTGTAAGAACACGATGTGAGAAGGTTTTGCAGTGTGTCAGGGTGGGTGGGAGAGGAGCTATTCAGGGCTCTCCAAG